GGGGAAGAAGGGAAAAAAAAAAAAAAAATAATACTGGTAAAAGGATTTGAATGGAGAGAAAGTAAGTGACAAAATTTTTTATCTTGTTAGATTTGATCATGTGATTGAAAAGGCATGGGAAAGTTATTAATCTCTGTTTGATTTAATATTGTGGAAAAAAAGAGAAAATAACTAAGTAGATGAAAGTTCACTATTATCTCCTTAATTACGTGAGTGAATTAAATGATTATATTAAAATAATAAAATTAAATAAAACGACGTATACTTTTATCTATTTTTAAATCTCTTCACTTTCGCAATGTAAAAGAAGTAAATGGGAATTTCATTACGCTGAATGAATGACACATAAAATATGGTATCACCATTTACACTTGGTATAATCGAATGAAACATGCCTCAAAACTAATCGAAGAGCAAGAAAAAAATTGTGTGTGGTCGTATATTTATTATTTCATCACATATTAATTTAAAATCTTTATCAATATAAAGATATTATCAATGTCTAAATACTTGCTAAAGTTAAAAATATATTATCTATTAACTTTATAAATGTTAAAATCTGGGTGTAAAAATTACACGGGAATCTTACAAACTGATATGTATTTTTCTTTTTTCAGTTCTTACAAATAATCTAAAAATAGAAAATTACAATTGAATTGAAAAATAAATTACAACTGAAAAAATTAGAAAGATCTTAGCCCAGGCGAGTAAATTCTTTCCGCAAGAAGAATACGCCCCGTGTGGCAGCTAACGGTTTCGGCGTAACTTCCCCAAAGATACAACTGCAAACGTCTCTAAATCTGTAGCACACCAGATTTACGAGCTCCAGCGAACTGGATTGAGTCGAGAATTGAGTACTTAAAAATAGAAATAAAATTATCTATATGATAATTTTTTCTCACTAATATATATATATATATATTTTATTTTTTTTTCTATTTTTCTTCTCTCTTTTTCTTCTCCCTTTTTCCTCTTCTTTTCCTTCTCTTCTTTTCGGTATTTTTCCTCTTCTCTTGTGTGTTTTTCATCAAATGAGTTGATAAGTATTTATAGATGAAAATTAGTTGCAAGATGTTGATGATTTGGTTTGGGGGTTGGGATTTTTGGTATTTGTAGTTGAAGAATTTGTCAATTTGTTCACCAAATATAATTTCTTCACGCATGCATTGCCTATCATATCAATTGGCACCTGGAAAATGGGACCAATATTTAAAATACACTCAAAATTCTAACAATAAATTAAAAAAAAAATATGGTGACTCATCATTTTTGTTTAGAATCAAATTTATCATCAAATTTTAAACTCGCCGTAAAGTCAAATAAGATTTCACTCCCGATCAATGAAACTTTTTGCTTCCTGCTTATCATCAAATTCGAAACTCTCATAGAAAAATCAGACTTTTGACAAGAATCATCATCCCACGAAAAAAAAAATCAGAAAAAAAACATGAATCATAATGTTGGGTTCTTTATTTTCTTCTTATCAAAGGTTAATCTTGGTGCCTTTCATGGTGACAGTAAATTGTAAACATGTTTTTCTTTTTTCTCCCTAATTTCATGTCTCGAAAACAATCCCCACCAAAAGTCACGAAAATGATACTTTTAAAAATGTCTCATCAGGTCCCACGCAGCCCACCACCACCAGCAATTTCATTCATCTTTTTCTTGTTTTTTAGGGAGAAAAAGTGCTGTCAATCTTGATAATTGCAGACGGGGAGAGAGAGAGACAGAGAGAGAGAGAGCTATTTCACACACTATAACACGCTTCTCTATTACAACGAGTCACAGTAAAAAAAGCCATTAACTGAAATTAGCTCCTTTTCAGAAACTTTCACTTTTTCGTGCTTCAGATTTGTTCTTGAGTACACGTCTTTCTTTTTTCAGCCATCTTCTTGATAAAGCAAAAAAAAAAAGGGAGCCCATTTGTAATGTCTCAACCAGGTACTATCTTAGCTGGAATATTCAGCTGTTCTCCTTATGAATTTTGAAGCTTTGCCTGATAAAAGTTTATAAAACAAACATCTTTTTGTTTGTTGTTTCACTAATTTTAGTGGGTTCACCCAAGATCTGTGCTTGAGGTTATTTATTTATTTATTATTATTTATTATTACGATTGTGGTTAGGTGAATTGAAGGTCTGTGCTTTTGTGCTTGATTTCTTGAATTTGTGGCTGGTAGAATGGATTTTTCTTCTCCTCAGCTATTGTGATAATGATTTGAGCTTTTATTTGTGGGTATTTTTTCCTTGGGGATTTTTGCTATTAATTGTAAGGAGATAAGATTTAAGAGAAATTTGATTATTAAAGTTTCTCTAGCTACATGAATGGCAATTTCTGGTAGTTGAAATGTTGGATTGTTAATTTATTACAATGAAGGAATATTTTATAGTTTTATTTCTATAATTTGTGGTTTAATTATTGCCTAGTTATTGAGGATCCAAGAATCTTCATTACTCAGGAATTTTTTCCCACTCTTTATTGTGTATTCATTGCTAAAATATCTATATTTGTTGCAATACTAAAAATAAAACTATCTTGAAGAAAATTGGGAGCACCATTTATCTGTAATGAATGACTGAATTCAGCACACCATAATCATGACCTGTTATTGTTCTATTTCAGAGAAAAACCACAGCTTTTCCATGTATGAACAACCATTAACATGGTTTATAAATCTGTTTAATGAAGTAGAGAACTGAGCCTATGATTAAAGTTAGCTGTCTGTGGATATCACTAAATTGTAATATCTTGCTAATGTCTCTGGTTTTCTGCTTCTTGATTCTTTTTTTTTTTTTCTAGGTAGTACAGCTTTTTTTATGGAGTTTGATATTAAAATTTTACCTTGCTTGGGCCAAAATAACTTTTAGCTTGTGCTATTTGACAGCCTTACAGCACTTTCTGGGATGTTTATACCTATAGATTGGTGANATGCACTTTATGCATTGAAGATTTCTCTCAATGCTTCAAGCAATCAGCTTACTGATTGGAATCAAAATCAAGTCAACCCATGTACTTGGTCCAAGGTTTTATGTGAGGGCAGCAATGTCACTACAGTGTAAGGAATATATGCTTTTTTATTTTTCTTTGTCATTTATGCAATCATAGTGTGTTTTTGGTTTTGCATTCTTTTACCATCAGCTATGCCGAATATTTTTGGTTACCCACTTCTTAGTATTTTTCATTTGCCTTCGTGAATTCTTTCCATATCGTTTTTTTTTGCAAGATTTTTCACATAATGACTGAATGAAACCAGGACATTGTCCAATATGGGATTTTCTGGGACGTTATCACCTAAAATAGGGATCTTGAAGACTCTGAACACACTGTAAGTATTGAGGACTTTCATCAAACTTTCTTGTGCATGCATTTTAGTCGTGAGTTTGATTAATTTTCATGCATGATACATTCATTCACCTATAAAAGTCGATTGCAATAATTGTAAGTGTAATTTCCTCCTCGTTTTCTTTCCTCAAGTAGCTACTTAAAAGTTGACATGATAATAAAATATTTTTAAGACTTTGGAGTTTGGCGTGAAAGTACTTGGGCATTTTAATAGCTGATGTTTAAAGGTTTTTTCTAGAAAAGAATAAAGTTGGAGCTGCCTAGGAGACAGAAAAACTGATAGGCGAAAACTTGATTATTTGTTAACATTTTGGATCAATTTACCTTCTGTTATTTGTACTGATGTTAAGATCCATCACATTTTTTTTTGTCCTGTAAATTTGGACACTGATATTTCCTTTGGGGTATATAATTCTAGCCATTTAGTATGGATTTCTTTTTTCATCTCTCTCTCTCTCTGTTTTGCTCTCTTTACCCCTGCCCAATAATGCAGGCAGTTGCAAGGAAATGGTATAACTGGTAAAATACCTGAAGAATTGGGAAATTTGACGAGCTTGACTATGTTAGATCTGGAAAATAACCATTTAACTGGAGATATACCATCTTCCCTCGGCAATCTCAAGAGTCTTACATTTCTGTAAGCATTCTTAGTTCTTACAGGGCTTGGTCAGCTTTGTACTCCCTTTTTTCTTAAATCCTCTTTTTCTCTTTATGTCTTCTTAATCTTAATTAATTAATTAACATCAAAATTAATGTCTTGCATGGCAGGATTTTAAATCAAAACAATCTCTCTGGACCAATACCTGAATCACTTTCAAGTCTTTCCAGCTTAGTCAACTTGTAAGGGACTTATCTTCCATAGGATTCTTTCTCTCAGCCTGTATAGTGTTTTTTCTTTTTTACGTAGAATTGTTTATCTTTTGCAGACAGCTTGCTTCCAACAATCTAAACGGCACAATACCTGAGCAACTATTCCAGATTTCCAAATATAAGTATGTAAAATTTTCATTATCTGTAATTGTAATTGCTAAATGTAAATACTTGCATGTGTTTGCATACATATGAATACCATCTTCATCAATTGAGCTTAAGGTATTAATTAGTTTTTCAGGAAATCAACTGAATTGTGGCTTCAGATCTGCCCACAGTTGCGCGTCTGAAAATGGAGGTACTTCATTTTGCATCAGTTTGTTAATAACCAAATTCAAATTCAAATGGCTAAAGTTCAAGGTATGAGTTTGTGTAAGCTGTTTGAGTCGTTTTTGACAGGCCATTCGAGTAAATCAAAGGCGGGCATGGTAATTGGGATTATTGGAGCCTTCCTAGTAATTATTCTTCTCGGAGCTTTACTCCTTTTATTTCTTTGGAAAGGCAGGCAAAAAGGCTACAAGCGTGAAGTCTTTGTTGATGTTGCAGGTTTTGTTCATAAGTTCAAATTTTGCCATTATACACCGGAATATGAGTGTTTGTTTGCTCTTATATATGCAGTGTTGCTATTTGTTACTTATCGACATCATATTTGTTCGCAGGTGAAGTTGACCGAAGGATTGAATTCGGTCAACTCAAGAGATTTGCGTGGAGAGAATTACAGCTGGCTACAGACAATTTCAGCGAAAAGAACGTGCTCGGGCAGGGAGGTTTCGGAAAGGTCTATAAAGGCGTGCTCGGCGATAACACAAAGGTCGCGGTCAAACGTTTGACCGATTTTGAGAGTCCGGGTGGCGACACCGCTTTTCAACGGGAAGTCGAGATGATAAGTGTGGCCGTCCACCGGAATCTCTTGCGGCTGATCGGATTTTGCACCACACCAACCGAACGGCTACTCGTCTACCCTTTCATGCAGAACTTGAGTGTTGCTTCACGCCTACGAGGTCTTATGTTGTTTTGTGTGTCAATATTTGTTGGAAAAAAATGCATTTTTAGTCCTCTTGGTTTAACTTCACAGCAATTTTAGTCTCAAGGTTCCAACTTTTCGCCTTTTGGTCAGTGATTTAATTTTTTGCAGCAAAATATTAAATCATATGACTGAAATTGCAACAAAATTTTAAATTGCAGGCCTAAAATTGCTAATAAAAAATCTATAAATTTGGCAATTTATTGCAAAATGGCTGAAATTGTAGCAAAATATTAAATCACAGGAGCAAAAGGCGAAATGTAGAATCTTGGAAATAATATTGCTATGACGTGAAACTAGCAGGACTAAAGTTAGTCATATTTGTTAAATCTTCGTTTAAATATTTAAAAAAATGAAAAATATATATCCGAAAACAGAGCTTAAGCCCGGGGAGCCCGTCTTGGACTGGGCCACGAGAAAACGAGTGGCATTGGGCACGGCCCGTGGGCTTGAATACTTGCACGAGCATTGTAACCCGAAGATCATCCACCGGGACGTGAAGGCTGCAAACGTGCTGTTGGACGAGGATTTCGAGGCTGTCGTGGGGGATTTTGGGCTTGCGAAGCTAGTTGACGTCAGGAGAACGAATGTGACGACTCAGGTTCGTGGGACAATGGGACACATTGCTCCCGAGTACTTGTCGACAGGCAAGTCTTCGGAGAAGACGGATGTTTTCGGATATGGGATCATGCTTCTTGAGCTCGTCACCGGTCAAAGGGCCATTGACTTTTCCCGATTGGAGGAGGAAGACGATGTCTTGCTCCTTGACCACGTAAGTTCATCGACAGAAATGCATTTTTAGTCATGTTGGTCTAACGTCATAACAATTTTAGTCTCAAGGTTCCAACTTTTCACCTTTTGGTCCTATGATTTAATATTTTGCTTTCAGTCCTCAATTGCATAAATTATATGACTGAAATTGCAACAAAATATTAAATTATAGGACTTAAATTGTTAATAAAAAATTTATAAATTTGGGAACTAAAAATGATATGACGTTTAAACCNNAAATTGACGTGCCACAATTATGTTAAAACTTTTGGTGACACAGGTGAAGAAGCTCGAACGGGAGAAGAGGCTAGAGGGGATAGTGGACCGGAATTTGAGGCGCGAGTACGAAATAGATGAGGTGGAAATGATGATCCAGGTGGCACTCCTCTGCACACAGTCATCACCCGAGGACCGGCCAGCCATGTCTGAGGTTGTCCGAATGCTGGAAGGAGAAGGGCTGGCGGAGCGGTGGGAAGAGTGGCAGCACGTGGAGGTCACCAGGCGGCAAGAGTTCGAAAGGCTTCACAGGCGCTTCGATTGGGGAGGTGACGACTCACTCCATAACCAAGATGCCATTGAGCTCTCGGGAGGTCGTTGACTAAGCCTTTTGAAAGGAAAAAACGAGCGTAATAATTAGTTGGGTTATTATTATTATTATTATTTTTTGAAAAAGGAATTTCGTGTGAATTCTTAGTGGTTCGATCGGTGTAGTGTATATTCGTGCATTGGCTATGTTCGTCGTTTTTTTGTTTTTTNTGTGTGTTCTTGTACATTTTCATGAGGTTTTGTGTGATTTTTGTGTTGAAGGTGAAGATGGGAAGTTTTTTTGTGTGCCTAAAGGTTGAATTTAATGAAAGGGTTTTTGCATTGTGTGTGTAGTTTTGTCCTTTGCCCCATTGTTAAAGTTGGCATTTTGAAGGTTATAAAAGTTGGCTAAGGTTGAATTTAAGTTGGATTTTAAATAAAAAATTATATATCGATCAGCATGAAGCTGGGCTTTTAAGATTGTGGTTTTGGAACCTTAAGATAAAGTTGACATATTTTGATGTTTGTATTGCCAGTATGTGGAGTAATATATATGATCTGCATAGATTAACCAATTGCGTTTAAGGTCTCTTTAATAAATTATTTATCAACTATCAACTATCAAATTGACTTTTCAAGATTTCACCCAAACACGCAAAGAAGCATAAAGGGGAAAAAAAAATGTGAATTAGGTGTCGGCTATATAGTTCTTAACTTCTTATATGACATTTTTATTTTATTTTTTAATTTTACTCATAATGGATAAAGATTTACTAGATATTAATGAGTGAAAATAGTTATTTTCACCCACAAATAAAAATATATCAAGTTTTTTACATCATGGTCATTCTTCAAAACGTATGCTTTACAACGAAGATGGTGGAATCACATAATGCGATTGTGTAGTGCATTCATGTAATGTGATTCTATTGTGCGATTATAAGGTACGATCATAATTGTACTATCTAGGGTGAAAAAAATATTTTCAAATTGAGGTGTGAAAAAAAAAAAAATGTGGTGTGAAAAAAATAAGTCTACTTTATTTATGGGTAAAAAAATGTATAAAGATTCTATAGAGCCAACGACGACTCCCTTATGGAGTCATCCAAAACTTGATGCACTGACACACATTTAAAGTATATTTATTGTAGAACACGCGTCAATACAATATTTGTGAATAATTGTAAATGGTTCTTAACCCATGTCATCCGATGACTCCATAGCAAAACCATAAAAATGTATACTCATACTCTATTCGTTTCACAAATATTTAATGAGTGATCGAACCGTTAGATAGGTCAACTTGTCATACATTTATAATAAAATTGTATACGTATATTACAAAATGTCATACTTTTATTTATGTTGTTTTGTAAAGTAGGATATTTTAGTTTGAAATTATTGATGTATGCTGAAAATGTATGGGTACATAATTGTTATTAACTCTACTTTAGTGTTCAAGTTTACATGGTGCCTTGACAAGAAATGTTTGTTGACTTTTGCTGAACTTATTATTTTATTTTTCTTGGAACAAAGCCTTCTTATAGGTTGCTTGTAAGAACTAACTGAAGTTTGATATTTCTCTACACTATGTTGTGATATATTACAAGAAAATCGAACGTCATATGATTATTCTAGAACATTAATTAGTCACATTTAATTGTTTGGTAACTTGGTGTGGGGGTTTGATAGTCAATTTCTTGTTAGAAAATGGGGCGAAAGTTCACCAACTCAGGAAATATGTAGATGTTATTTAATCTCAACAATTGAAGTAGTCTCGAAAATATTGATAAATAATACAAACACGTGTATAATAGTGACATCATTATAAAAAATAAATTTTATTTCAAAATCTTGATTCGATTCATGTTTCATTTTATTGGTTGATATATGTATAATATATAGTAATATTATCATAGACACGTGTTATTCATATTGTGAAATATGATATTTGATCCCTTAATTAACTTGAAACTAAAGCTCTCGAATATTAATTCACCAGTTATAGTTAATTATATGACTTACAGGACTACTAATAACTCGTGTCACAAGTTAAATTAACAAGACCAAAGTCTTAACTAAAACAAATTAAATATATGTATTAGTTACCTAAGTTAAAAAAAAAAAGATTAATTTGGTCGTTTTATCTCGTTTTTAGGGGTTGGGGGAAGTTGAAANTGACATTAATGTTTATATTCAGTGAACTGATGATTTCCAAGGGACAAAACGACACGAGCAACAATTTAATATTAATAATTAAATATTTTTCTAAAATCACGACCAATTATTACCAACCTTATAATCTATATATCTGTATTTGAATTTCTGCAGTTTGCAGTTGTTAGCTAAAGGATGTGATATTTCATGAGGTTAATTAAGCGGACTAACGATTAGATACACATTTTGTTTCTAACAAAATATATACATTTTTAAATTAAAATATAATAATTTAAAAAATAATATAAATAAAATTATAATATTTTATAATATAAAATATAATTTTTATTAAAAAGTAAGATAGGGTGACCGCCTAATGATTAAATTATATATCTCACAGAAATATGATTTGTGTTAATTTATACTTTTATGTTTCAATCTTTTTGTGAAATTACCATTGTATTTTCTTGCCATTGAATATAGCCAAAGAATGAGATTCAAGTAAAAATTCAAAAATTGTAGAAAATTAAACATTATCGTAAAAATTGTAATTCATCACATATATATATGTCCTTCAATAAACATTAAAAAGGGATAAGTGAAAAGAAAAGGCAAGGGTAGTTAGACAACCCTTAGCTAGAAATAACATTATAACACTAATATATACAACACTAAATTAAACTCCCAATTACACACAATCTCTACAATTTCTTTTCTTCACACATAGAGTGTAGCAGTGTATGCTAGTCTACATTTTCATTTTTTTTTTCCATTTCCTCAAATAAAAAGATAAAAAAAAGTAAGGTAAAAAAAAAAGATATATGATTGGAATTTGGATACTCACAACAAGTAAAACAAAAATACAAACTTTTTTTTTTTGTTTTTCATTTTTTGGGGGTTTGATATTCCAAATATATAAAATAGGCTAAATTACATTTTTAATCCTGCTGGTTTAACATCATAACAATTTTGACTTAATATTTTGCTGCAATTCCAGTACTAAAATTGCAACAAAAATTTTCAAATTTATATCTTTGGGATGAACTTTTGATTGGCAATTTAAGTCCTGCAATTTAAAATTTTGTTGCGATTTAAACTGCAGCAAAATATTAAATCATAGGACCAAAAAATAAAAAAAGTTTGAAATTGAGACTAAAATCGCCATGACGTTAAACCAACACGATTAAAAAAGTATTTTTGCCTATATAATATATGTATATATGTATTTAATTACTAATTAGCAAAAAAGAAAAAACAATTAAAAATTTAATCATCAAACAATCTCATGAAAAAAAGGATCATCAAGAAGCTCAGACCACAACTGAGCCCCTCCATAGCTCGACGTGCTGCAAGCATCTCCGCCATTACTATACGAACCCTCCACCACCAGCGGCGGAACCACCACGTTCTCCGGCTGCCACGTCATCTCGTCCTTAACGGAGGGAGCCTCGACTCGTAAATCCGGAAGATGAGAAAATGGAATATCCACCGCTTCGTTAAATAAATAATCCCCATCTTGCTTCGGCTCCATTGCCGGATTTTGCATGTTTCCCAAAAGGCTAAAACCGTCCGCAAATGTCGGGATATTATTATTATTCTTATTAGCAGTCAATGGGCAGTTGGTCAAAAGAGTAGTGTTCTGGAAAGACGGAGGCTGAAGAATGTGTTGTTGTAGCTGTAGGTAGCTGTTGAGCCGAGCCATTTGGCTAACGGCTTCGTTTTGGAGCCGCGCGGCTTGCTCTTCCCAGCTCTGGCTTTCGAATATGAGGTCCTTGAGACTGGCTAGGGCTATAAGGTGTGGTAAGCTCGAGAAAATATCGGTTCTCGGCCGATGAGTCATCGGGTCAAAACCCATTTGGATAAGCTTCTTCTTCAAGTGAGTGTTCCAGAAGTTTTTGATCTCGTTGTCTGTTCTTCCTGGTAGGTGGGTCGCGATGGCCGACCACCTTAAATTTTACGTAAAAAATTTCATTTCACTTATTGGGAATAAAATATTTAGGAGGACTTTTACGTACGCAAAAATTCAATTTTGGTCCTTTATGTTGCAATTTGTATCACTATTGGGACATTATTGCGAAAATAGTTCATTAATTTTTGAGATTAGTGTCCTAAAATTGATACAAATTGCAACATAACGTACTGTTTTTGATGAGTAATGTCCCAAAGATGATAGGAATTCCAAAATAGCTTACTATTTTTGATAAGGAGTAAGTAATTAGTGTACCAAAAATGGACATTGGACATGTCAAGGGAACAAAATTGAAATTATTCCTACAATTCTACATGCATACAAATTATTACGAAAAAAGTGAAAAAGGAAAAATTAAAAGATGGTCGATTAATTAATTAGTACTTATTGCCAAGAGAGGCGTGGAGATTGAGAATGGTTTGTTCCTCTTCTTGAGTGAATTTGCCTCTCTTGATGTCCGGGCGAAGGTAGTTCGTCCACCGTAGTCTGCAGCTCTTTCCGCACCGATTAAGGCCTAAATCCGAAAAACCGAGACAAGAATTGTTATCCAAACGAACGAAAATGAAGAATGCATGCATTAATTAAATTGGACAAAAAAATATGTAAGAATATGGATACCGGCGAGTTTGGGGAGGGCTCTCCAGCTGCCATGGCCGTGTTTTTGGATGTGCTTGACGAGCTTATCGTCTTCTTCAGGAGTCCATGGCCCTTTCTTCAGACCACTCTCATCACAGCATGGAGATCGTCCCATGCTTTT